AGAAAAGTTTGTATTCTCCAAAATAACTTCTAGTGTTCAATAGTTAAAGTGTTTCTCTAGATGATCAACTGTGATAACCGGATGAACATTGAAGCGCATAGAAACTTAGGCAACAAATTTATGGACTATTGATGAATATAATCTAATTACATAATTATTGAGATAATAGATTATCATGTAGACGCTATTTTATTTATCTTACACATTCCACTAACCCATAAATTATTATTGTACAATCCACTTTTCCCATTTTGTTGACGGTTCATTGGTTAAAGTCTATCCCTACATACATTCACTATTGGTTCACTCATGTATAGTGGTTAATTTCCGTTTATTAGTGTGATGTGGTCTGGTCTTGTGTGTATATTAAGGAATGTGTTGATACACAGAAAACTGAATCTTGGACTGGTAGTCATTAGTCTTAATTCATTTTCTTCTCTAGCTAAGGCAAGTTAGTTTTCAACCATCTCTCATCTTTGTTGCACGTTGATTAATCAAAGATCATCTGTCATTAGTTATTATTATCAGATCATAACATTAAAAAACTAGAGTTTTTATGCATTCCAGTCTAATCAAAATAAACCTATCACAGAATCGTCAACAATACCATGGACTAATGTCCTAAGTTAACTATAATTTGTACTCGAAAATAATAAAGCTGATCACTTGAATTAGGAAACTTTCAAATCGTACTCAACATCACGTCATCTAGACTGATTATCTCAGCTAGCTGACACTGTCGAAATTTGTGCTAAACTCCAACTTGTTCATGGTTAGTTACACTGTTGAATATTTTCTAAATAAAAGATTGAAAAAGATTAAACTCATTGAAGTGTTTAACACTACTTTCAATTGGTCAACGCTGAGTCTGTCATAAATATGCTTTAGCACACGCTGACATACCATATTAAAATATACAGATAGAGCAAACAAGATACACAGTAAGGGAGTTCATTTCAATCAATCAATCAATCAATAGCAACGTAGAACTTCATACGTACGTAGGTACATCAGTTCATCTCACCATACTACATAAGCTCAGAGATGTAATTGTCAATTCAAATCCCATTGTAGTAGAGGTAGTCAAGGTATTAGCAGTAATCGGAGGGATTAGGGTTCGAAGATGTTATTCAAGCAGTAAAATCTAGTGAAATAAAATTTAAAAAAAAAGCTTCACATGGTGTACTAGTAGTGCTCAAGTTGCTGCAGAAATGAAAAGATACAAACTGGAGATGCTTGGAATCAGTGATACACATTGGACGCAGGGTTGGAAAAACGAAGACTAACTTCAGGGGAGTTGCTGTTATACTCCAACCATGGAGTAATGCTAATAACAACAAACTAGAAGTTGAGAATACGCTTTGAAAAGGCAGAACAAATGGACAAAGGCAAAGGAATATTAGTACACAAGATATAGAACAAAACAAAGGATGATTGTAGAACTTTGGATTACAATCTATGATGAGTTATGTGACAAAATTTTGAAACTGTTTTACATTATCAACAAATCTAAACGAGGCCGTCACGATTTAGACTAATCATTCAACTTGTAGTTTGATTCACATCTACAACGGGTCGGAGTGATAAGTCAATCCTGCATATATATATATATATATATATATATATATATATATATATATATATATATGTATATAAATTTAACCTTTTTCTTATATCTCTTTCAAATGATCTGGTCGTTGTCTTTAATTTCCCATTCTTTTATGTTATACGTTTTTTTTTGATCATATTTAAAACGTACTTTATCAAATCAATTATTTAGGATTTTCATTTTATCTAAATATTTATTGATTTTTCCAATGAGAACAAGAGTTAGTTCTATAACCTTTATTTGGCTTTATGATGAATTAATTGTTATCAGTTTGATAAATCAAAGAGATACATTTATGATTTCATTAAACGTTTCCTTTCTACTCACTAATGTCAATCTACTGTCTAAAAAAATACAACAATGGAGATTAGAGAGCTAGCTATATAAAAACTATAGTTCCTATATTTTTGTAAGAGTATTGTAAAATAAGTCAGATGATAATAGATACTAGATCGTCATTTAACGAAATGTTTTCTTACAAAATTTAGAAAAACAACCAACTCAAAAAGATAATCAGTTGAAATTATCCTATCACGCACAACATAGATGACAGTTCCATTGTATTAAAAAGTAACGACATTCATTTATCAATTTAAATTTACTCTGAAAGAAGAATCAAGTTATTTCATAACAGTTTTTCAAATGTTCAATTAACATGAATATTCAATGTTCGTATACATAGAAAATCAGTGAATGGCAATTTCCTTAGTTCGGTACTAATCAGATATAAAGAAAACTTAATTAATATTTTATTGAAATCAAGAATCGATCATTATTATTAGACCACCATTAGAAGAAACTTGGAAGTGCTAGACGGCCGTTTCCTCCTAGTATGGGACTACTCATCAGCAGTGTGCATCCACGCGACCACGCACACAGGGGAGTCGAACCCAAAATCTTTGGTCTCTCGCGCAAACGCCTAACCTCTAGGCCACTGAGCCGGCATCCGATCAATCCACGGTCTTGCGCGACCTAAGAATATTTGACACCGATAGTACTACCAAAGATGAATTACGTAATATTCGTCACCTTTTTATTAAAAATGGTTATCCTATTAGACAACTGTTCAGAAGTTACTATACGTAAATAAAAGTACCAGTAAAAGAAAATCCATACAAAACATTCTTTGTGGACAAACTGAAAGTAGATTTTTTACAATGGTTCTGCATTGAAAACTAGCAAAAATTACAAACTCCTAGGATTTGTCAAAATGTTAGACCACCATTAGAACCTTGGAAGCGCTAAACGGTTTTTTCGTTCCAGTTTGAGACTCGTCAGTAGTGCGCATTGACGCGGGACTCGAACCCATGACCTTCGATCTCTTGCGTAAACGCTTAACCTCCACATACATTAAGAATATGCTTCAAGAAGACCGAATGAAAATAGGTATATGTTGAGTAATACTGGCAATAAAAATTTGTAGGAATATACAGGGTAGATGGATTTCGAACCTATTCTAAACCATGTCATCAAACATTTCCAAGCAGTAAGTTGAATTATCGCCCTAATTACAATCAGGCAGACTACATTAACCAACAAGTATCACATCTATATTCAATGACTTTCTAATACTATAACAAGTCTTAGTCACATTATTACTAGCTTCGTAAGGAATCTTCTCCGAGTTCTAGTGGCAAGACATGATCAGTGAAGTTCAACCTGTTCGGGTGTAGACAGTAACTAGCGAAGACTGTGTATGAGGTTGCGCATCTCCGTGAATCGATCAAGTTAGACACTAACACCGTTAGATACCGTCTCAGTGGTCCGATGGTTAGGCGTTCGCCTACGATACCGAAGGTCCTGAGTTCGAATCCTGCCAGGTGCAGGAGTAGTGGATGCGCACTGCTGAAGAGTCCCATACCACGACGAAACGGCCGTCCGGTGCTTCCAGGTGTCTAATGGTGGTCAAACATTGATCGATTCATGATTTCAAAAAAGTGTAACTTAACAATCTTCACAACCCCGTAATGCAAATATCAATTTATACAATTCCATGCTAAATGTTGACTGAAATTTGGTTATGCGGTTCGCAAACTTTAAGTTTCAAAGTGTGATTGATTAAATCAATCCACTTGTGTCTTATATCATGTATGGCCCACTATGAAAGTAAAGTTCATTCAGTAGGGCCAAACTAGATACGAAAACCCATTGATTAAAACAATAATTCGCAAACTTCGACAACACGCAAACAAATAAAATGAAATTCAATCAATTGAGTGCTATGTGTAAAAGATGTTGAAATGAAAGATTGAAATACTTCACAAATTATCAGGACAGATGGATGGTGGTTAGCAGTGGAATCCAGGACGTGGGTCTCATCTTATTTACGACTTGTCAGATAGACATACCTGAATCTCAAAGCTCAGGTTGACCCTAATATATATCAAACCAGTACCGTTCACTTCAAACATCATCACCTTGTCCACTTAACTACTGAGTTCGATCGGCGTTTAGGACTGAAAAAGATCAGACTCTTTTGTAATGTGTGCATCCTGTACGGATTGTCTCGAACATACAGACAATCATATGATAATCATTTAGAGACAGAGAGAGATAACTCTACCCACTATCAGTCGTACCATGGCATTTGACAATAAAATTGATCACATGGATTATAAGGATTGAATTTACAATCATTTCACTGTGAAACATTAGAGTTGAAGACAAAAAATCCGGTGCTGTAAAATGAATGCTAACAAACACCTATTGGGTTTTAGTCTGAATCATGATAATGAATGAGTTAAATAGTCTTTGTAATTATCAATATATTTAGCCACAGTTAATTTTTACGTACAGAAAGTAATTTGATCATTTTCAAAGTATTTATCTGTTTGCCGGACATGTTTTGCATACCACACACATAAATTGACATTAGGAAAAAGAAACTTCTGTCAATCAAAGAGCACTGAACAACTGATTCTTTCTATTTTAAAAATTGGAAATACCAAGTGCACTTTACTTAATAAAATATTCACATGTTTTTACAAATAAAAATAGTAAAAACGACGACGTTGTAAGGTGTTAGTCACAAGTAATTGATAGGAAACCATGGAACTAGGTTTTGTTCGATTTGACACTTGTCAACAAGGTATACCTACCTACCTACCTACCTACCTACCCAAGGGTTGATCAACTATAAATGTTACAGTTCAGATATAAGGTCAAAAGCTAATGAAAACATGTTATCACATGTAAAAGTGTAACCCTAACTTATTTATGTTTTAGAAGAAAAAAAGGTTTATGAAATATTCAATTTTTCGTAGGCTAGATCACAAAGTTTGATAATTTTAGACTCATTTAAACCTAATCATTATCAAGTACCTTATTTTTTTTTAAGCAAATCAAAATCGTCACATCTATTAGACAGAAAAGAATATATTTCAAAACTTACCCGGTGCATATTTTAATCCCCACCAAATTGACGGTGGCATAGCTGCATGATGGAATACATGTAGAAATGTGACTTGATCAACTTTACCTCGTGATAAGAAGAATACAGTATCTAACAGTTCAATAATTTTAGAAAAATAGAATAGATATCCAATCCATACAAGTTTGTCAGTTCTTGCATCATTAGGATCTGGTTGTTCTTCACAGCCTAAACCATAGCCTAAAGTATAAACAGCCCATAGAGTACCGAATGAAATAACAGCAGAATAGATAACCATCACAACGTTATATAGAATCATAAGTTGTTTGATAATGTTTCCCGATAGCGATGATGATGATGAATTCGGTTTTTTCATTTCAGAATTAAACTCTTTTCTATTTTTAGGTTGTTTTCCATGTCTTTTCAAACATTCAGCTTTCCAAGCATATACTCCAATAATATAAGTTAATGTAATTAAAGCTGTAGGAGTCCAAGATGTCATTAAAGGATATCCATCCAGTCTAGGATCTGGTTTCGGTGGTAACAATTCCATTGATAAACGTTCTAAAACATTCATTTCAAAACAATATTGACTAATTACAACAATCTTCTCAATAATCCGTTATTCGTAAAAATCGACACAATTATTCATGAATGTGAATGTTAAGTATGAATTTTTGCCTAAATCTAATTGGATAATTATTTCATAAACTAAATGATTATTTGATTGGTCGGTTTTTCGTTTTTACTTAAAATCCACAACCAATCAAATTTATGTGTAGATCTGCAAAAAATCGATAAAAAAAATTAATTGAATATTGGAAGGTATATCTTCAAACTACTGTTTCATGTTAAATAAACATATTAGTCTAATGTGAGACACGTGTATCTATATATTTGATATTGGTTATCATATTATTCGATCCTATCAAAATTGAAGTAGCATTCATTTTCTATCGTTTCTTCATTCTAGTAAAATTTATGTAAAAGACAATTTCTCATATATGAAAACCAAGTTCATAGAATCATCTTTCCATTAATTGAACGTGTTCATTAGATATCTAATAACTGTATCGATAGTGTTATATCTTAATTTATAGTACAGTTGAAACAGTGAATTTAATAGTTGTGCATTTTACTAACAGTACTCACTTCCATCTAATAGTTTTTCTGATCATTAACAAAGGTTTAAGCATCTGTTTAGTGGGTATACAAAATAACTGCAAATTTTATACGTTTGTTAGATATACCAACGTTATTGAATTGATCAAATTGTTTTGTTCTAATAAACTGATACTCTTTTATCAACAACGTCGAAAGATTTTCAGAAATACTACTGAAATGACAAGTGATTCCTCGATTATGCAAAGTCTATTAGTTAAGACGCCTATAGTCAGCCTCCACAAAATTCATCATCAATTCTAACTCTTCCTTTCTTGATCTTCCCCCATCTTCTGCTGCCAGACATTAAGTTGACGCTCACATCATATACTACTTATAAGTAGCTCACACCACAATATCAGTACATATATTAGTGTGCCACATAAAATCACATTTTTTTAAAGATGCCTATCATAAACTTGAATGCTATGAACTCAAGTAAAGTTAGACTAATAGTAACTTGAATAGTACATTCTACTGAATTCTTTCTTTCAACAGAAATCAATTAACTGAGTAGGTGAAAGTATTTCGTACACAATCTAATTAGTCAGTTAGTTTTCTTTCAATTATTCTTCTGTTTAATGATGATTTTTTTTTACTAAATTTATATATACGATACGATGATGATGATGCTGATGATAATTTGTTTAAGAGATTGTGACTTAGATTAATGTGAACTCGTTTTTGTTGTGATTGGCGGTTGTTACTTTTTTTGTTGTTTTTAAGTTAAAGAAATGATAAACAAATTGTAGAATTTAATACATTTTGACCTAATATATGTTTCAAATAGAATAATTCTGATTATTATGAGTATCAAGTTATGAATATAGTTGAATTTCATATTTATCGTGAAGTGATAAATGTTAGAGCATGATTGAAAAGCTGAAAGCACTGAATGACTATGCTTAACTAAACCACCAACGAAAACCAGGAAGCATGAGACAGCTGTTTCGACCCAGTATTTTAATTTTCATAAGTGTGCAACCACGACCTTTCCACAAAAAATCAAACCCAGTACTTTTGGTAGTTATATTTATCGTACCACTAGGAAGCTTAAACGACGAGTGAGTCAATATCCCTATGAATGATCCGGGAAGTTCTAAGCTAATAAAGCATGTAGTTCCATGTTATGTTAGAGAAAATTCGTGGCTCAAATGGTGGTGTTTTTTCTGAAGCTTGCATTACTTCTGTGAACATTATCAGCACAAATTTCATGTCAACGATAATAAGAATGAAAGGTCAAGTTGTCAGCTATCTATGTACGGAAACTTTCGAATAGTTCGATGCTACCCAATGTTCTTGCTGATATTCAGAAGAAAAGTAAGAGCTTCCATGGATATAAATATTCCTGTACTTCTGCCTCGGAGACCAGAAACACCTAACAGAAAATTCAATAGAAGCTCAGTAACGACAAGTAATATTTTCTCCAATCAGCGCTGAAAAGAGCCTTTACAGGAATATCTGGAAAATGCAGAATCACGTGCTACGATTATCAATAGATATTTAGCCATCCCACTTCCTTACTTAGTATGGTTCCAGAACCATTCAGAAGCCTAAAATCATCAGTCCCTCAATATATTCCCTTACTGTTCTGAAGATAAATTAACCTTGGAACAAAGTATTCATCTGGTAATTCGTGCCTTTCTTTCGTTTTCAAGATACAGTGTAAGATTTAGTCCAGAGTAATTACAAGTTGATCGGAATAAGATCTTGCATTTTTTTAAAAATCAAACTTATCAGTTTTAGAAAAAAACGCATAACATTTAATTTGGTTATTCAGTTACTTACTTTGACAAAGTAACTTACACGTAAGTTACAAGAAGTTGAAAATTTCTACTTATTAGAATACCACATTTCTGTCATTGCATTGCGGGGTTGTTGTGAAGATTGTTAAGTTTTATTTGTAACCATGAATCGATCAATGTTGATGAGTCCCATACCAGGACGAAACGGCCGTCCAGTGCTTCCAGGTTTCTAATAGTGGTCTAACATTGATCGAGTCATGGTTACAAATAAAACTCAACAATCTTCACAACAACCCCGCATTGCAATTACATGTGTTTACTAGTGACTAGCTTGGTGAGGAATCTTCTCAGAGTTCTAGTGGGAAGTTGTGACCAGTGAAGTTCAAACCTGTTCGAATGTATACAGTGTATGAGGTTGCGCAACTACGTGAATTTGATCAAGTTAGACATTAGCATAGCCGGATGCCGGCTCAGTGGTCCAACGGTTAGGACGTTCGCGCACAAAACCTAAGGTCCTGAGTTAGGATCATGCAGGGTGCAGGAGTCGTGGATGTGCACTGCTGATTTCTGTCATTATTTCACTGTTTTCAGTTAACGTCCTTTTAATGATTGGATCGAAGAATAATGATCCAATTAGACACAATTATAAATGCTATGAATATGTCATGTAACTAGGTGAGCTATCTGTGTGCAACTTGAGATTTTCTGTGTCTAATGTTACTAAACTGATTTTCTGTCACAAGTAGCTTACTTTTTCAATGTCAGCTGCGTATTTCATGTTCAACTTGTCCTGTTTGTAATGATGCATGTTAATGCAGTTTTTCGTAATTAATCTGTCACATTAAAGCTCAAATATACATCAGTTTTACTGCAGCAAAATACATGTGCACATACACAAAGAGTTCACAAATGTCTCATTGTGATTAGTCAATTCAATCTGATATTAGTTAGTGAGGATCTCTCTCTCTCTCTCTCTGTATCAATTGTACTGATAGACAGTAAGTAATAAAACTCACCTGCAAAATGTACGGTACAGGGTACATACAAGTCAATCAGTATTGAAAATGACTGTCTGGGTTTTGTTCGAAATTATACATAGTATAAATAGTGTTGGTATCTAGACAAAACGTTTGGAAAGAGAGCGAAAAATAACTTTTTCCACTATTTAATAACAAAGTAACGACTCATTTCTCTCTGTAGGTTATATCTTACAGAAAAATCAATAAATCGATAAAAACCCTGAAATGAACACAGCAAATGGCTAAGACTCTAACATTGAACTAACTAAACAGAGCTTCTAGCATCCTCATTCAAAATCCGTTCATCCATATGACTATGGAGTAAGCATTTGTGCATTATGCCTATTAACAGTTTGTGATGGGGGTTCTAGTCTAATAACCACGAACAAAGTGCGTTTTTAAGCAATGAACAGAACAAATACTTCATATCCATAATAATAAATTTATCGACCTTTGTTTGAATTTATAGACAGAGTTAACTGTAGCTGACTTTAATAAGTTCAACAAATTTGCATAGACTGGAAATCAACTCTAGAATTCAGGTACATCTATGTACAAACGAGTCCTGAATAGGACAAAACGTACATCCTAAATTCCGCTGCTAACTCCTTTAATAATAATGATTGCAACCAATTTTCAGAGGAACCATATGTGATAAATGAAGCTGATCAGTTGCATTCCTATTTATAATTGGAGAGATTCAAACCACCAATCATGTGGATATTTAATAAATTTACCTCCAGTGAACAAGGATAGTTTTACACTTGCTTTTCAGGCTAATCAAGACACTATCCACTTGTTAACACTACAACGTGAACAGTACATCAACCACACAGGTACGTGACACTCTTGTGGACCATTCACACCACTTTTAAAACAGCAGTACATATATAGTGATTATTTTCGATCCACGATAGTGTCAGTCAATATGCGCCGAACGAACAGGTCATCTTGATAACATGACTGTCAAGCTCATCATTATTAGAAATGGTGATATGCAATACAGCAGCATCCCAATGACAATGGCCGTCGTGAATGTTGCAAGACAACCACTCGACTTGTATGCTTCTCATTATCATGTCTGTCTTTATGAACGATTGTTTGGAATAAATGCATCCAAACAAATCCTTAATCAGGGTTCTAATTTCACTGTCATCTAACAAACGGGGTTCGCCTATATATGATATCAGAAACTAAAGGGGAAATTATTCTAAAGTGTTACTCGAACGTGCATAAATTAGGGAGTTAGCTTACGGTTCACTAAAGTGGTGAGCCCTACCTCGAATTTAAGGCATCCACTAAATTTGTGAGCTTGCCGATGAACTTAAGGCATCCAACACGTGTTTAGGCTACTGAAATTGAGAATACTTTCTGGATCGTTGTTTTTCAGTGCATCTAAAACAAATATAACTGGACGTCGACGGTATTCGTAAATAATTTTTTGCGATGCTTCGTGATCAAAGAGATATAACTTTCGATATCCTCAGATCATGCAAGATATATTTCAAAAGCAATGAACTAGAATTCTTATACACCAACTGTGTATGCTCAAGCATTTAGTGGACAAACTGGTGTTACAGCAACTCAGAAGATAGCTGACACTGGGATCATTCACTAGGGTTCATACCGTACATAGATCGACTTTATCTATTAAACATAGACTTATTAACTACGTACAATAAATCATGACATAGATTTACAAGCATAAACTACTC